TATGTCGCGTGCACGTAAAGGGTTTGAAAGGTTGCCCCGAATCGCTCAAGGGTTGCCTGAGGGACCCTAAATAAAAAAAAAAAAAAAAAACATGCCGAAAACACACGACTCGGATGAAGCAACAAGTTCATTATAAATATCCGTGCATAAAAAAAAAAAAGGGTTGCAAAGCTTCTTTTTTTTTCGATTCATTTTTTTATAACATCATAATATTTAAATTATACGTGTGCCACTCCTTTGAATATTAACCCAGTTAATGTAAATAAGGGTTGATATTTCTTTATTAACCCTTCTTTTTTTTTTTCTCAAGCATTCATTTTTTTTTTTTTATTTTCTTTTCATGGAGGTTGATTATTATCTTTTTATTATTATTATTATAGTCATCATTTAATAATAAGAAATAAATAAATAGGAGTAGAAGGATTTAAAAAGGGCGGCGTTATAAGAGAGAACCAAGTATCGCTCAAGGAGAAAAAAAGGAAAAATTGAAAGTTGAGAAAGTTGTAAGGGTTGTTCCAGGGTTGCCAATCATAAAAAACGGTTTGCATAATAAGTCCCACCCCTTATTCAAATCAGCATCCAATGTCTAATGTTTTTTAAAATCATTGCTCATGCGTTCAAAATCCGTTCAAAATCCGTTCAAACTCGTTGGAATTTTTCTTTTTCTTACGTCAAACCCACCGACACAAACTTTTACCGGGTAAAAAATTCCATAATTTTTTTAAATATTAATTGTAAGAAAACCGTTCATTAATAATAGGAAAACTTGTGTGTGTGTAAATTTTCCATTTAATAAATATAAGAATATTTGATATTAATACAAATAATAATTGAATTCTTTTTACGTGAATTTATTTATTTATTTATTAAAGGTTCTAAACAATAGATAAACAACCCCCTCCCTCCCTTCATTCTGATGAATGATAATGAAAACTATAAATTGAACCTATATGCAAAAAAAATAGAAAAACAAAAAACAACTGATAAATACTATTTTTACTTGTAAAAATAATATGATAAAAACGTATATATATATATTCGTATTAAATGCATGAGATAAATAAAGATGAAGAATATTATCCAGAAATAGTGGGGGAAAAAGGAAAAAAAAAATATCAATAGTTTGAAGCACGGATCCCACTGCGCGGGGAAATACAAATATTTCCAGTCGGCCCATGATTGTCTTACCATAAGATATCTCCAGTTTTAACTTCTTTCATTCATTAGTTATAAATATTACATTTTTTTAATGTTTTTAATTTGTAATTGATATTATTATTTTTTTTCCCCTTAATGTTTCGCACATGGTTATCTTAACGATAAATCAAACTTTTTATGTGGGAAAAAAAGAATTTTTTTAAAATAGCGGCGGTAAGGGGGGGTGACCGTAACGCCTATTCTTATCCAATGGACACGACCATCAATACAAGAGTAAATGTGAAACTTTTTTATTTCCCCCTCTCTCGATAGGAATCGTTGAATTAATTTGAAATTCAGTTGTAGTGAAGCACGCGGAGTAAATGGTTACGAAATCTACGGTTTCTGGACATTGGTCAAATGATTAATTATTATTATTATTATTTTTGTTATTAATTAAGTGGTTTATTTTAAATATTTATTATTATTTTATTGTGGTGTTTATTTAAAAAAAAAAAAAAACGTTTTGTTATTTTATTTTTAAATACATTTACACACGCACACACGCACGCTAACGTATAAATATCGATAAAAGTAATTGAAATTGTTTTTTTTTTTTTTTATAATAAGTTAATAAATAAATAAAACTGGAGGATAAAATCTTTTCTATTTGATTATTGGTAAATGATGAACAGCTAAAATTTTCGTTAAATTTATATTTATTTATTTTTAAATATTAATAATAATAATAATAATAATAATAATAATAATAATTTTTTTTGCAAATTTAGTCATATAATTATTTTTTTTCTTTCCGACAAAAACAAAAAAAAAAATTTTTATTATATAAAAAATTTAATATTTATTAATATATGTACTTAAATAAATTATTAAAAATACGTTTCGAAAGTAAGGAAAATTTATTTACATAATACATAAATATTTTTACGGTATATGTTTTTTTTTTTTTTTTTTTTTTGATAAAAGGCCGCGATTTAAAAAAAAAAAAGAAAAGTTACTTAATTGATTGCAAAGCAGCGAAACATAAACTTGCATAAAAATAAACTATTATTATTATTATTAAAAATTATTAATAATATTTTTTATTATTAGGAAATACTTTGCTCTGATTAATAAATTATTTAAATAACTATT